TGAACTGTGATAACAGAAATTAAGTATATTGAAATGGCTGGGGGTTTACCTCAGAAATTATTCGCAGTTGTACCAGCCTCTAGATTGAGATCCCGGTTAGGCTAATCATCTCCTTGAACACAAAGCCAGGCTTCATAAAGAAGAAAACTTGACAGGTTATACCACAGTAGCTTGTTTCTCTCCCCCTGCCCTCTTGCCTCCCAAGGAGAAACAGAAACCAAAATTACAATTACAATGAAAGAAGCTTCTTAGAGGCTTCGAGACCAAATCCTTCCAAACCATTTTTCTGTAATTCCAGAATTAACAGATGAAATCTAGGCATTTCACTAAAGCCTTTGATACGTTATCTTAAAACTATTGAGATGGTATGTCCAGGATATATGTACAATTACTCACAGGAAGACAGTTAGCTGAATGATATGGTGAAGCCAGAGGTTAGAATTTGGCCCTATTTTTTAACATATCTGATAACCAGCTGGAAGAAGAACAGACAATAATTTAGTGTCCTAAGCACAGGAAAAGATAGCATGAAACATGCCTACAAATGATCAAAAGGATGCTGACAACCACCAACATTCCTTTTTAGTACAGAAAAGTTGACAGAATAAAACTGCGTAACAATGGGTTATATATACTACACATACAACAGTCCTAGTTTACCTATCCTTATCTATATGCTTGCAGTGTTATGCCATTTAGAACAGAAGAAATTCAAAGTCTTCAGACTATAAAGACAATAAAGACATTTGAAGAAAAAGTGTAAGGTAAGACAATAATAGTCTTGGAAAGAGAGGTGAGGAAATTATGTGAATGCTATATCAAATACATGACTGATGTCTAGAGTAGGAAGAAAGCCCGTGATTTATCTGTAAACAACAATACATCTGTTTACAGAGAGAAGAGGCAAAAGATGCTGAGTTAGACTAAAGGAATGAACCGCTGAATGCAGCCTGGGAAGCTTCAAGAGTGAAACGATCACACACACAGCCATTTTAACCTGAAGTCACTGCAAAGAAAATTAATCAAGTCCAATTTGATTTAACAAGTCTGTGATAACATATCTGCTGGTAACTGAGTCTGAAACTTCCTTGAGTTTTGGGTCCTTAAATTTCTCCATGATTTTATTACTTGGGTTTCAGAATTCAAGAAGCAAATCAGGCCAAATCCTTTCCCTTCCTTCCATTATTCCAAACAGAGCCAACAACCTTTGAAAATGAGGGAGTATATGAAGTTACGATCTTCTGTGATGACTCACACCAGATACAAGGAAGAAATTTTTTACTGTAAGAGTGGTGAAACGGTGGAACACGTTGCCCAGAGAGGTGGTAGATGTTCCATCCCTGGAAACATTCAAGGTCAGGTTGGATGGGGATCTGAGTGACCTGAGCTAGTTGAAAATGTCCCTGCTTACTGCAGGGAGATTGGTCTAGATGACCTTAAAAATCCCTTCCAATCCAAACCATACCATGATTTACAAAAAAAAACGCAAAACAAAACTAAAATGACCATACTGGGCATATGATATATGGAATCTAAAGAAAGATCTGGCCACAGTTTCATCTGGAATAACTCAGGGGAAGTTCTGCAGTCAGCATGGCTGTGTTTGCTCAAATGGAAGAAACAGGACATTCTCCTTCTGCATCACCAGATCTCCAAGGGATTACACTGAATTCAGCAGATACCGCAGTCATGGAAGAACAGCTTCTGTTGTGCTTCTGTTCTGTTTTATAGGCTGTTTAGCATCTTCTGAATAACACTGACCAAAAATAGAGAGATTACCAATGCCTGTACCTGCCCTGAAATCTCTCAACACCAGAGAAGTCGACAGCATAAATAGAGACTGCATTAACTCCTACTTCAATTTTGCAAGTACCTGCGGATGCAAGGATTAACCAGCACTTCTCACCACCTTTTGTTCAAGAAGTTGTAAGAGGCTGTTACAAAATAAGGTGCTGGAATCTGAAGAAATCTATTATAGATTTGCTGACCTATAATGTATAAACAAAGATGTTGCACTATAAGCAGCAATTCCAGTAAGTGTTTATTCACCTTTCCACCTTTTTTACAATGTCTATGCAATAACAGAGCTGTACAGAAGTTTTCATCCTCATGTTTTGAGGTTTATTACTCATGCCATTAATCTTTTCTCACATGGCCTTTGATTCTGATAAATTCATAAAATTCCACATAGTGATATAAAAGGAATCTTGTAGTATCACAAAAAACACTTATACTTCATAAAATTAATCCTTCAGTGTTAGATCTTAATTAGAGATGAAGTATTTGGTTGGTCCCATTTCTAAAGCACTTAGGGTTTTATGGAAACCTGCATCTGAACCAAATTCAGCATTTCAGGCCCATTTCTGCTTCTTGTACATTAAAATAATTATATGCAATATTTGTCCCCCTTTCATAGACAAAAGACTGAGGTCCATTAAGTATGAATCTGTTTTCTTGCTGCTGGTCAAACGGTAAGAATAGCTGTCAGCTCTTGCCTCCTCCCCAGAGCAGTCTATGCGCACTAAGACAGGTTCTCTGATCATTGTTCTCTCATCCTCTCCTATTTGATTCTCTATCTATTGTTTAAGGGATTACAAACCTGATTATTAGATCAGAGTCTACCTGGATATCAGAGCAGAACTGCCCTAGACTATGAACCATGCTGGCCTGGTATACAAACAAACGGCTCAGTATAAAAAAATTCAAACGATGTGAAGTTGTTCCAAGAACACTTTGGTTAATCCTGTAGGCTGGTGAGGTTTTGCAACAGTTACTGGAATTATTTTACTCTGCTGACTGGATTGGATTAGTGCGCTAGTTAGGGCTTTCAGATTCTAGTTCATGACTAGTGATTTGCCACTAGGCTTTGGCTATTCTGTTACATGGCTGAAAGAGATATTGTATGAATAAGTATATAGAAAATATAAATGAAATGGTATACAAAAAATGTACCTCAGCTACTGGTGACACCCTGACACCTGTGGACCTTAAATTTCCATTGATGTGAGAGGAAAGACTTCAGGTAAATGCAGATCTAGTTTCATAAACTACCGACAGAGTTTCTTACTTAATAGCCTTGATTGTTTAAAGGAATACTGCTTTAAAAAAATAAACTTTACAAATTAAATTAAAGCTTGCAGCATTTTTTACATTGCTGAAAAATCACCAACAGACAGAAAAAAATTTTAGTGTCTTCATGAAGTTTACAATGGTAAATGATGATCTATGGTACCAGAACATCAAAATTAATCTCATCATTATGCATTTGCCTTCATTCATTAAAACATGTTTCTCTCAAATTAAAAAGAAAATAAATTAATGGATGAGTGAGATGTGAGCCATGACAATATAATCCTTTATCTCAAAAGACTATAAATTATAACCTATAAAACTGTTTTATGCTATCAACATGTGATGGATTATTGCTGTTCCAGCAAAAATGGAACAAAATGTTTCTATCTGCAGGCACACTGTGGTAATGTAGAAGTTCTGAAAAAACATGAGAAATTCCACTAGTAGAGCTGTATGAAACTTAGGTTTCCTCTTCACAAATAATTACTTGTAATCATTTGGTTTCTTTCTGATTCAGATTTTTTCTTTTAATTCTGAGTTGTTTTGTTCCCATTGGAGTAATCACGTTGAATTATAAATTCAAAAACCTTTCCATGCCAAAAAAACCCAACAAAACAAACAAAATAAATTAACTTTATTTAACTCTCCAATTTTGCCTGTATGTGAAAGATAATACATTTCACACTGAGTACATTTTAGCAGTCAGCCCAGATTTGCCACTGTGTGCAACTCATCCAAGATGGTCAAAGTGAAAAATGACAAGTGCTTTATAAGTGCTCCATTGTCATTAAGCATAATGGATACTTTTTCCAAAAGTGTTTTTCTTGGCAAGTGTATTTTCTGCCTCAATTCTCAATCCCCAGGGAACCATTTTTAGATTTAAAATTAAGTGCACAGCACATTGATGTTTTGTTTCTGTCCTGGGTTCAGCAGTAGCAGTCATTTTTCTCCTTCTTAGTAGCTGGTGCAGTGCTGTGTTTTTGACTTTCAGCCTGGGAACAGTGTTGATAACACCGATGTTTTTAGTTACTGCTCAAACGTTTAGACTGACCAAGGACTTTCTGAGTCTCATGCTCTGCCAGGGAGGAGGGGAAGCTGTGAGGAAGCAGAGACAGAACGCCTGACCCAAACTGGCCAAAGAGGTATTCCATACCACAGCATGTCATGCCCAGGGGGTAAACTGGGAGTTGCCCGGAAGGGCTACTTCACTGCTTGGTCGGGCTGGGTATTGACGGGTGGTATTGCATTCTGTTCCCTTGTTGTTTCCCTTATCATTATTATTATTGGTGGTAGCAGTAGTGGTTTGTGTTATACCTTAGTTACTGGACTGCTCTTATCTCAACCTGTGGGAGTTACATTCTTTTGATTCTCCTCCCTGTCCCTCTGGGAGAGGGGGGAAAGAAGGGAGGGAGGGAGTGAGCGGGCTGCGTGGATCTGAGTTACTGACTGCACTTAAACCACTACAATCCTGGGACATTATACATTGAAAATATGCAAACTTTTCAAGCTTTAAACACTTCCGTAGCAAATATTTCTTATCCATCTGAAAGATTTATGAAGTAGGTTAAATTTATTTCCAATGTTCCATACAGCTCTTACTAGAATATCTGCTATAGCCATCATTTTGGATTTGTTCCTCTGGAAACAGATCAGACATATTTAACTCTACATCCTGACTGAAAAAAAACATCTTACAATAAAGTTTAACTGAGTTCATGCTTTAGAAAAAAAGTAATTCTGTTTTCCAGGCTAGAGGGCAGCATTCATTGCTGAGGTGGCTAAGTACACTGCTCAGCAGAGCTAAAACAAGATAATAATCCCACTCTATTCATTTTCTACAAGAAATTATATTTTAAGGCTCTGTCTGGCAGAAGTGAAATGCTGCCTTCCAGGGGCAATGCTAAAAACACATCCCTGTTTCAGTTTACCTTATTGACATCCATCCGCAGCTTCTCATTGTTGGCACTGGCAGCTTTTTCTGCAGCTTTCTTTTGGCGCTGTGGTCCCCTGCCAAAGAAGATGTAGTTGACCAATGCATACTCCAGGAGAGCCATGAAAACGAAGACAAAACATCCCATAAGATACATGTCAATGGCTTTCACATATGGAATTTTGGGAAGAGTCTCTCGAAGATGGGTGTTAATTGTTGTCATTGTGAGCACAGTTGTGATTCCTGAAAAAAAAAAAAAAAAGGACATGTCTATTGACTGAATTAAATTTTGTAGTACAATAGTTCATAATATTCAAATGCTTAAGTTGAAAAATTCAATTTTTTTTTTCTGCTAGATAAAAGCCCACCTCCAACCTCTAATATTCAACAACCTCCAACCACGACAGTTCCTTATCTTTGTCTTTAATATTTTGTACAGCAAAGAAAATTACAGCTCTAAATAACTGTGTTCAATAAGACAAATGGTAGTTGGATTCTACAAGTATGTTTTTAACCAGCTGAACTGTAAGCTTTAATGAGTCTCTGCTATGAATTAGCAGCCTAGAGTCACTGTTATCTTGCTTTCCACCAGCATTTTTAGAATGTCTGCGGTCCTGAAATCTTATAGGAAAATCTACACAGGACTGGTAAAACTCAGACAGTGTTCTATAAAGTTAAAATGTCAAATTCTCAATTTTATCTTTTAAAGTAATTCATTTATTTTATCTATATGAGACCTGTACTGGCAGGAATTGGTCTGATTTATACAAAATTTGGTAATAGATACTCATTTAGTTGCAACATGCTTGGATCTTCTGATGAGGACATAAACAAGCACACATGGGATCAGTGATAAGAGTATTCTACAGTTTAATTAGGGAAATGGTTTCCTTTTAGAATGCAAGGTAACAGTATGGAAAGAAAGCCCTCAACTTGAGGAGAAGTTAGCTATACACCCCTAGTAAAACTTTATTTAATTCATAACTGAGAGGAAAAGCAATTTATAACCCATAACACAGTATTGAATGTGTATTCTGGACTGCCATGAGAAAAAGCAAACTAAATGCATTCTCTTTGGAGAAAAAAACAAGCAGTAAACCAACAAAAAATGTTGAGACAATTAGGCTAATTCTGGTTACAATGATTATACAGTTAGCTAATTCAGACATGAAGTCACTTTAATTTTTATTTAAATTGTGATGATTTAAATCCTGATTCAAATAATACAAAGCTTAACAAGCCAGACACAAAAAGATCTAAGATTTATTTTTCAAATCATATACTATCCACTAAGCCAGAAGTAAGAAAAAGCATTCAGTTAATGCACACTGGGTGCCATGTGTAAAAATGCCTACCTAAAGCAACTCTTGCAGCTGAAGCATCATAATTAATCCAGAAGGAAACCCAGGACAGGATAGTGATCAGAATAGAAGGCATGTAGGTCTGCAGAATGAAGTAACCAATGTTTCTCTTAAGTTTAAAGCTCAGAGACAGCCTTGGGTAGGCACCTAAAAGAGAATATTTGGTACGGCCATAATTTACTTGTATAAAGTCTGAAAAAATTCTTCTGTCATTTTGATTTGATTGTTTCATGCAACATAAGAGTACACAGACAGTTGAAAAATCCAGAATAATCAGCTGCAGAATTTCTAGCAAGAACTGGGATTAAATAATCTTTTATTCTAAGGATACAAGTATGCTCCAGATGTGTTTCTGCTGGTAACCATAATATTCAACAACAATCAAAATACATTTTGGAGCACCAAAGCATACCACTGTTTTTCAGTGCCAAGCAGCAGTATGCCTACTTCAGTGTAACCCTTATTCCAACCTTCTCTCCAAGCAACACAACACTTGCCCTTTGTCGCTGAACACCATAAATATTTTGGTGTATGAAACTCCTGTTGAAATGAGCACCTAAAGATCACTATCCAAGTCCTGTTTCTGCTTGGTTTTCAAGAATTTGGGATCCTCCTATACTCCCTTCAAAGACGATTTTTATCTATACCTAGAAAGTGAGTTTTGAAGATTAATTTTTTTTTTTTAAACACACCTAGCATCTTTCTCAAGGAGGTAGAGAACATCACATAATAACAGCCCAACCCAGCTCTGGTCTCCCTTGAATAATTTATCATGTCACTGAAAAGTTCTACTTGTTCTTGTTGCTTGCTTTGCTGTTTTTTGTGGGTTTTTGTTTTGTGGTTTCATTGCTTTTTTTTTTTGTTTTTTATTTTGTTTTGATGAAATCCAATCAACTTTCTACTCCTTCTCACAAAGCATGTTCTCAGCCTTCAGAAAGTCGGATGCTTGCTTGCTTGCCTAGGCTAAACTACAAATCCTGTCAAAGATTTTAAAGGGTTTACAGTAAAGACAAGTAATCAGTCTAATACAACCACACAAGCAACACCTAGAAATAGTAAGAGATATGTTCCTAAATTTCCTACAGGTTGGGTCACTTCTTGTTGGGGTTAGGGCACTGAATGGTAGAAGAGGCTTAATTAGTTTTCATAGGAAAACAGAAAATACAGCTTACTTGACTGAACCTAACATGACAGACTACTGTATTCTTTTCATATGCTAATGGGTGATGCCTTACAGTATGAAGCTGTAATAAAAACTGCTCCTTTCAAAATTCACAGTTGCTGCCCTAATTTATTTCTGTTTCTAAGATTTTTTTCTCAGATCCTGAACTCATGTTAATAATTAACTCATTTCTGAAAGTCTTCCCAGTCAACTCCCCTTTTAGCTTCCCCTCCACAAACCTGTAGAGAAAACAACATTCTTGGTGATAAGCTTGTAGTCTACAATGGAGAACTGTGGCAGTTCAATCTTTGTCACTCCTGTGACTGCATTATCACCCCCACGCCAGTAAAATTCAATGTCATCTGTTGTATAGCCATCTATAAAAACAGGAGTAAACAGTTAAGATATACATATCTTCTGAATTCATGAAATAACTTCAAATATATTTCTAAAAATAAACCATTTATAACATAAAAGATAAAAGCATTCAGAGACAGCTGATTTGAAATATAATTTTGAATGGAAATCCTTTTAAAAATATAACAATATGTTAATAAAGCAAACCTTTAAAAACAAATTAGGGCTACACACGTCCCATATATAGATAGCAACTGCAGATTTGACTTAAGGTAACTTCTAATTCCAAGGCTGGATAAAACAGTGCAGGTTTGCTGTAATTTCAGCCCCTAGGCTGAAACATAAGCACTGGTACCAGAAAGATGACCAGGTCACCGAGAGTTGCCTGAAAGAGATGCTTTTCTGTCTTGTGCATCATGATCAGCAAAGGAAAGAGGACAGTGAGAGTTATACAGGTAAGAGAGAGGTTCAGTGTACAGTTATCTTATGATATTTACTCTGTATGCTATGTAGTTTATACTCAGACTATAGATGCAAAGGACAAACTCTAGTTTAAACCCATTAGACTTCCCTTGTAAACCCAGCATCATTCTTTTACTGAAAATGGCTCAAATGCAATAAAAGCCAGCCACATTCAGTGAGGCCGGAAGCAACTGCAGCAGATGCAACAGCCATCACTCTGGATGGCAAAAAAATACCCGCAAAAAAACACCCACAAAAACACCAACCAAGCAACCAAAAAAATCTTACCACCCACGAAAGAAAACAGAAGACAGCACATGTTCACACAGTCATAAAACATATGCATGAAATATGAATCTGAGTTTGCCAAATGGCAGCTTAGCTAACTTGCATACTCTGGAGTTGGTATGCGGAACTGATCAGTAGATATCAGAAACAGATCTGTTTGAAAACCAGGGAATAAAATGTTCACAAAGGTTTCTAGTAATTTAAAGGTTCTTGTTGTTGAAAACTGTAAGCAAAAAGAACAACTCAGAGGTGGAATAAATGACTGACTTTTTGGGAAATGGACATAGTAAAATGATATCTATGACCTTGATTTCTCACCCACAGGCAAAGGACAAAACGATATACTAAAATGATTTTAGACTGCTCAAATAGCACTTAATTTCAAGAAATAATGCAAATTATGCATTTTGTGATAACCTAGAAACTATAAAACTGTTTCCATGCATCATTAGTTTTTAATAACCCAAATATAATCCAGGCGTACAGCAGTGGCAGAAGACAGGCGAGTTTGAAGATAGGAAGCCAATAATCTGCAAAACCACTGAAATAACTATCAAAATCTATCCAACATACAGCAAACTTTAAATTATTTTTACATTCTTACAGCATATTGACAGCAATTGCAGTTTTTTGTAGAATACTTTCATTCTGTTTTTCATGGAGCCAGCAGCAAATCAAAAGTAGTTTGAGGGCAAAAAATGGACAAGTGATTTCAGGAATAAGAGCCACCTCATTCCCACAGGACAGATTTTGAACAGCTTGTCAACATCAAGAATTCAGGATGGAACCTGCTCTGCTTTCAAAGGTGCTGACACAGACAGCAAAACTGATGAGAGAAGAGATTTTTTAATTTTTTGTCAAATAAGTTATTCCTGAATCTTTCCATTTACTCCAAAGTTCACTGGTTTTGGCTGCTGACAACAACCAAAGAAATAAAGAATCTTGTATCTTATAAATAAGGGAGAAAAAGTGGGATGTGGAACATGGTATGCTTTTGACACATCCAGAACTCTTTAAGAAACAGAATTTAAATTACATTAACAAATAGCTTACGTCAGTGGTCACTGCTGAGTTTCCCCTCACCTTCTCTTGTTTGACCACGAGGAGAAGCATTAAAGGAATAACTGAACATAACCTGGAATAATCTGGAAGCACAATATTTAGCTTCCCTACTCTGTTTAGACAGAGCAATCAAAAGAATTTCATAGATATTATGTGACTGGTTTAGAGCCTAAAACATGAGAAGTCTAAAAAGGAGCTGAGATTACTGGTATTTGTCATTAGGTCTATCCTCTGTAGTCAAACAAACATTACCTGTGACTCCACCATCATACCAATGCTTCCTACACACTTTGTGATACAAAAAATGTTCTAATCTGCATTTTTCATCATCAGAACTCATCAGCTGAAGTTGTCTCAGGAAGATCAACATGCGATTGAACTTGTTTTTTTGCTTACTGCATCTATGCACCCCACATAGAATTGTTGCAGATGAAATCTACAGCACAAAATTGTTGCCTGTTGCCAAGAGATACTGTACGTAGAGATAAGAATAGCTTCAGCATAATGATTTCCAATAGCTATGCAAGGCATCCGTAGTTCAGCCAAGACTGTTGTTAGAACTGGTTTTGAATTTTCTATATAGCATCCATAGAATTATTTTAAAAAGTCAAATTACAGACTCACTGGGAGACTGGAATTGTTTTGTTCTCACAAGGAAATAAGGTATTTTGCTGCTTAGTTATTATTTTCTAAGACTGACTAATTATATGAGAGACTCTCTCCCCATCCCTCATTTCTTCAATTAAACTTGTTCTATTTCCACCACATAAAAAGACAGCAAATGGTACACAAAGGATGAGCACAATACTTTAAGTTTCCTTCCTTCAAAAATGACCTGAAAAACTAAGGCACTTTTCATTACTGAACATTTCAAGAAATTAGGAATACTTGTACTTTGCCATATAATTGAGATTACCATAGTTTCTGAACTAAAAGACATGAGCTGTGAAACGCAACTTGGAAAGCTTTGACAATATGTTGCAACCTTCAGTTTAGCTTTTTGACATTCAGAAATTCTTGTGGTATAATTTTATACCAAGTTCTGGCTCTGACACTGTGAATGTAACACTTGGGTAACTCCTCTTCTGGGGTTGTGGTTGTGAATTTCTCGTCCTGCACAGCCCCACGATCTATTTCTCTAGTGGATATCTGTAAAAGTTGTATTCCTGAAAATTACTTGCATGGAATGAAGGCATTCTGTCCTTTCTATAATGTACATTGGACATTACACTTATTCGTGTACCTTCTCCCAATGGAGAAGCAGTTGTTTTGTCCGACAGGAAGGAAAATTACTGTTAGCACTGGGGCATTGGCTGTTGACAAGCTGATTCCACTCTCTGGAGGATGCTAGATTTTAAGTACTGCTAGATCTGCTTCATTTGCTCTCAAAGGTAATTCTCCACGAAGATCAATGGTACCTAAACGGAGGTCATTAATGATTGTGTTTATGGCAAGACAGACCCACTTCAGTAAGAGCTGAAGGGAACACATTTGTTTCAGTATTTGTGTGAAGCACAAATCCTTCATTCAGTGCATGAAGTTCTTTCTTCACTTTTTCAAGTGCTAAGTGGCATAAGCACATAGCTTACTCAGATCCTGCAGACCTGAAATTTATCAGGTTGTCATGATATCTTTGGACACAAGTCTATCTTCAGGAAAAAGGCAGACAGCTTACTTAGGCTTCCTTGTCTGTCACCAGTTTATACGTAAAGTCTCACTCCAGGCTTTCAGAGAGAAAAAAACTAAAATAAGATCTACAATAAAATAGACAAAGTAATAAATTGGATGATTGGCAAGTATATGTTATGAAAAAAATAAAATAACATCCTTGGTGAGTTTAGAAAGAATAATATTACATACCTTGTCATGAGGATTCACTTTTCCTTTGTGATACTGATGAGTATCCTGAAACCCTGCTTTCCAACAGCAAATTCCAGATTCTAATACCATTTACTGAATTTGTGGGATTAATTTGTTTAATTAAACAAGATAATTTGATTTTGAGGTAATTTAACTGTTAAACTTTATGACTCATAAGTAAATCTCTTATTTTTCTTTCTGATAAAATAAATAGTGAAATAAGTTACAGCAAGAAAAAAAAAAATTTATATAAGAGAAAATATGTTTATGAAATGGATTTTTTTTCTATTAACATCTGCTAGTAGAACCATCTAATCATACAAGTTCACAAAGGAGTACTCCAGGATTTATTTTTCAGCAGGCTCTGAAATGCTTCAGTATTCCCCCTCTACCAGGAAGATGTGATCAAACTCCTTCCTGTATTCTCACAACCTTAATATTAAGCAAATATTGACAACTACTTCCTAAGGAGACCTGAATTCCTCTGAAAATCTCACCCAGAAGTTCAGAACAGCTTCCAAAATACACAAAGCTCTGGGAGGACTGTGCAGAACTCCCTACTGCTGAAGGTACTTATGCTGGGGAAATGCTAAGCTGAGACATTGACACAGAATGACAAGACTTATTAACAGATATCAGCAGAAGAATTTCAGAAAGTCTCATAAAGCTTTCATTACAATTCTTCTCTCTCTGTCCAAGAAGGATAAATTATCCCATTCATTTCATAGCATGGAAAAGGAGAGCAAAGAATATCATAGTCATCTGCACATGAAGGCTACTGTGTACTGCTCAAGTACCCAAAGATAATTTGGTCAAGTCAATATATCTGCAAAACATCCACCAGAAGAGAGAATAGGCCTATTCATGTTTATAGTGGATGTTTTACAGATATTAAAGTTCAATTATCTGTGCAAAACCCTAAACTTCTTCTACAGTATTTGAGACTTATCCAACTGTATTTACAAGTTAAAATTATTTCAAGACAAAACAATTAGAAATAGTAATAAGCAGTCTAGAAGAATAATCAGTGGCTCTTGAGAAGAAAAAGGCAGAATTTATATCAGCTCAATAGCTCTAAACTACCTGATCACATGCCAGTAACCTAGAAAGCAAAGCATACTAAAACCAAAAATGCTGCAAGTCATTTTTGCAAGAATCTGAGTTTAGCACAGAATACTGTCTGTTTGATTTAGACTGTAAAAGAACTGTTGTTTTACTATGTATTACATTTTATACAGCACGGCTACTAGCACAGAGAATCTGATTCATTGCTTTTTCCTAAATCATTTATATATCATCAGCAGCACGATTTACTTCACATTCAGAAAGTTCAATTTCTCACTTCTGT